GGGCCTCGGCCGGCGAGTTGCAGAGGTGCCAACCAGCCGGGGCCGGAGCTCCGGTGCCGCGGACCGGCGCGGGTGTGCGCGGAATACTGGGAATGAGTGCCGTGTGGTTAGAGACGCGCGAAGGACGGTGGTCCCGGAGGTCCCTGCCCGCGGGTTGCAAGCTAGGCCCCGGGCCTCCTGCGGAGTGGGGCCCCGAGCCCTGTGTCCGGGTGGTCCCCGGACCGAGCCAACCGAGGTTGGCACACCCAGGCCTGTGACCCAGTGTTCCCCAGACCCAGTCCGCTGCACGGTCTTCCCAGGCTCTTGGACCCAGGCAGGTCCTCTTGCTGCCGGCTGGGTGTCATTGCTCTCAGCCGCCTGCTGTGTGTCTGCCTGCATTTCCTATAAGGCCCTGCTGGTGCCCCGCACAGGGTCGTAGAATGGGTACCACGAACTGGGAGGAGGGCTCTGGTCGCCATCTGTAGTGGTTTCTGGACGAGACTGGACACCCGAAGTGCAGACTGTAGTGCTCTACCTTCCTGCTGCCTCAGTACTTGGGCCAGCCAGATTATAGATGCCAAAACATTCTGCCTTGCCTGGTTCTGGAGGCTAGCGCTGTGGCCCAGGGCCCACCTGCTGTACCTGGTCCTGGCTCTTTACACCGTCCATGTCTCCTTGAACTCTCAAGAATGTTCCTGGTCCAGTGCTCTGGTCTGAAAGGGGTGAGGAAAAGCCCCCCAAGCCCAGGCAGTGTCCTTGAAAAGCTGGTACCCTGTGGCTTTAAGTCCAGGAAAGACCTAAGAACAGGACAGCAGGGTGAACCTAGTGGGAACAGACTGAATTTGCTGGACACCAGCAGAGGCTGGCCCCACAGAGCCTTCCACATTACCTTTCATCCAAACACTGTAGTGAGTAGTGCAGGATGTGGGCCCTAGTGAGATGTTCTGCCTCACCATATTCCTTGCCAGGACTTAACTTTGGGCCACCAAGAGCTCCTGGAACATATCTAGCTGGGCAGTAGCCAAACTCCACCAACAGTGGGGAATAAGTCTGCTCTCCAGGTCCTGGATCATCTGTCTGGGCACTACCCTACTCCCTAGCACCTTTTAAATCTATCTAGCATATATGTAATTACACATAGCACGTTTGATTGCAAATTTGGCAGTGGGAACATTTTTCCTTAAAAATCTGCATTTAGAATACTACAGTCAACATGCAGATGTATTCAAAACTGCAAGTGGTTTGAATTTTCTTAAAGAATGTTATTGGTAGCTGGTCTTTTCCTGTTCCCACTGAGCCTTCTTAAGTCCCCTTCAGAGAGTGTGGCCAACCAAACCCACCAACTCCTGGTCTGCGTGTTACAGTACCCCAAGGTAGAAAAGAAAGGACCCAGGTAGGACTCTGGGTGGAATCCTGGAGAAAGAAGAAGTTCTCATCCTTCAGGGTTCATCTGGCGCCCATGCCAGGCTCCCAGGGGTGGGGGTGGGGGAACCTGTTTAGATACATAGGCAGCCTAGAAGTTCTGAGACATAACAAGAGAAGGTGTTCTTGGAGGGCAGCCTTAGGCAAGCTGGTGGGGCCCAGTCCCAGGTGGGCCCCGAAGTGGAGCAGGTCACACAAGAACAGCAGCAGCACTGCTGACCCCTCTTTGGTCTCTCCAAGGTTCTTGTCATTTGTTTGAAGACTCCATATTCTAGCTGCTGCACTCAGTACTTTCCTGCAGAGCCTGCAGCCCTAGAAGGCACTTTGTGCTTCTACTCCATATGGCCCCGACTGAAGTCTACTGGCCTCCCTGTTCCTCAAACCCTCATGGCTGGCACCTCTCTGTAAGAGCTGCTGCCAAAGGTAAGGCCCAGGCCCCTTGGCCAAAAGAATCCCTGAGACCCCCTACTAGGCTGGGGTCCCTCAGAGGCCAGACTCATTGCTGTTTCCATGGGGATATGTGCACTCTGACCCCAGCCTTTCTCCATCCCAGGCCAAATAAAGAGGGCTTCCAAGTGGAAACTGCGGGCTTGGACTGCCCCTCCTCCCATGCCCCAGATGGCCCTTGTTTCCAAGAAGGGAGGGTGGACAGAGCCCAGGCAGAACTGCTGAGGGACCTCCCATTCCCAGCAGCCCCTTCCTAGCCCTGACCTCTGTGCTCTCTAGACTGGAAATATGACTTTCCTCAGACCAGTGCTCCACCAGTGCTTCCACCCAGGCAAAGGCCACTCAAATCCCTAGAACCACTCAGATTACTGGACAGCTCTGCAAGACCCTGAGACCAACCTTCACTGAGCTGGGGTCCCCTTCGAACAGAAGAGATGAACGAAAGTCTGGAATATGGCTGAAAACACACACACACACACACACACCCCACCCCCCCCAAGAGGCCCAAGGTGGCTGTCACCAGGGGCCAGTGGTTGTCTCCAAGTACAAACCACGGCCCAGAACCACTGCAGACCCATCTCTCACCAAGGCTGCTTCCTAGGGTGGCCACCCAAGCCAACACAGTCCTTGTTTCAGAGAGTCAACTCCCACTGAGTGTCAGACCAAATTGAACTTTCTCCTCTCTAAGGTCTTAGTTGAGAGACTACTTTTTCCTGAGCCTTTTTTTTTTTTCTTTGGTCTTTTTGAGACAGAGTCTCCCTGTAGCCCCAGCTGTCCTGGAACACACTGTGTAGACCAGGCTGGCCTTGAACTTCACAGAGATCCACCTGTCTCTGCCTCCCGAGTGCTGGGATTAAAGGCATGCACCACCATGCCTGGCCCAGAGCCTTTTTTAAAAAAATTTTCTTTTTCATTTTTTTGTTTTGTTTGGAGACAGGATTTTACCATGTAGCCCAAGCTGGCCTCCAACTCTTGTCTTCCTGACATACATACACACGTACCCCACTACTGGGATCACAAATAAGCCCCCACCAGACCTGGGACCATAGCTTACCTCCTTGTTCATCCTCAGATGGGCAGTATTACCTTTGGAATTAGATACCTGGTTTCTTAGACACTGAACAACAGAAAGTTACTAGTTTGCAGTTCCAGAGGCTAAGCCCCAAGCCTGGGTGTAGTCAGTACAGGAGGCTCCAGGTAGGGCCTTCCTTCCTCTTCCCAGCTGTCTGGCTGCTGTCAGCATCATCCAGGCTCTGCTGTCATCACTGCTGTCTCCTTGCACTCTAACCCAATTCTGATTTTTTTCTTCCTGTGAAGACAGTGGTCTACATCTGCTAAGACTTTATTTCCAAGTAAGGTTGTTACATCATAGGTGCCCTGGTTAGGACTTGAAAGTATCCTTGAGGGGACACAGTTCAGCCCCTTGGTTGATCAGGTTGTTGGGACTCTGTAAAATCCTGACAATTATCAGTACTGGTTTCTCTGAGCTCCAGAGGAAGCAGTGACTGCTGTGGCAGAAGAATGGCAACCCCTGCCTGGGCTCCAGTCTGTCTGCCATCCTCCCTAGAGCAAAGGAGGGCCAGGTGCATGTGGACTCAGATGCTGGGCACTCCTTCTGGAGTCTGGGCCATGGGAGCCCCAGCCAGCCTGAGGTAGGACAGGGCCATGAGACCTGACGGTGCCCACCTGGCTGTAACTGCCTTCTGGGTAAGAGAGGACATGGGGGACAGATCTGCCCACCGGGCTCTGGCCAGGCCATGTGTGCCCATGCCACTGGGGTGCCTTCCACTCGGGCAGGCGTTGTCCTGAGGGGTTAGTTTTGTGGTCTTCTCTACCCATCACTCTAGCCATGCCCCCTGCCACGCCCTTGTCGAGAATCATGGTCAACACTGGCCTTTCACTTTAAACTGGGCTTGGCCCCCGGCTTTGGCTTCGGTGTTCTGATCCATTGACCACCCACTGTGACTTTGTAGTGCTCAGGGACCTGGCGTCTGCCCCCATTTCTCCTGCCACCACCATCTCTATATCCTGCTGTGTGTAAAAGGGCAGGGTGGGGGCGATTG